AATTTGATTTCCCATCCAGTCCATTAAAAACTTTTTTTTTTTTTTGGCCACACCCGGCAATGTTCAGGGCTTATTCCTGGCTCTGTACTCAGGGATCACTCCTGGTGGTGGTCTGGAAGTACATATAGGATGTGGGAGATCGAACCCTGGTCGGCCACATGCAAGGCAAATGGCTTACTTGCTGGACAATCACTCTGGCACTTGAAAAGGTGGTTTTTTTTTTTTTGCTTTTGCTTTTTGGGTCACACCCGGCGATGCACAAGGGTTACTCCTGGCTCTGCACTCAGGAATTACTCCTGGCGGTGCTCAGGGGACCATATGGGATGCTGGGGATCGAACCCGGGTCGGCCGCGTGCAGGGCAAACGTCCTACCTGCTGTGCTATCGCTCCAGCCCATTGAAGAGTATTTTAAAGAAGAAATAAATACTTTCTTTTTTTTTTAATTTAACTGGTTCAATTTTTTTTGTCTTTTTTTTTTGAGGCGGGGGTCACACCTGACAATGCACAAGGGTTACTCCTGGCTTTGTGTTCAGGAATTACTCCTGGTGGTGCTCAGGGGACCATATGGGATGCTGGGAATCGAACCTGGGTCGGCCACATGCAAGGCAAACGCCCTACTATCGCTCCAGCCCCTTAACTGGTTAAATTTTTAATTAACTGATTAATTTAAAAGTATTTTATAGAAGCAGAAGAAAAAAAAGCACTAAAGAATGTATTTAGGATGGGAGTGATAGTACAGTGGGTCAGGCTGACCTGGGTCCAGTCTTTGGCACCCCATGTAGTTCCCTGAGTCCTACTGTGTCCTCTGCACACAGAGCTAGGAGTAAACTGTAACAAAGCTGGGTGTTGCCCCCCAAAAAACAAAGAAAATTTTATTTCAAAATAGAAATAGATAAAACGAGCTGTGATGATTAAAACTGTGGCTAGAGGTACTTTAATAGACAAGTTGATAAAATACGGCAGGAACTCTAAGATAAATAGAATTTATAGACAAATTCAACATTTAATTTGATAAAAGTCACATTTAAAACTGGTCAGAAAATTATAGATTGTTTAATAACGGGTACTGGGATAACTTGGCTGCTATTTGTGTTAGGAAAAATTGGGCTAGAGACCAGGTTAAGCGATAGGCACTTGCTGGGCTGGAGCTATTGCACAGCAGGTAGGGCGTTTGCCTTGCACGCGGCCGACCTGGGGTTCTATTCCCAGCATCCCATATGGTCCCCTGAGCAACACCAGGAGTAATTCCTGAGTGCAGAGCCAGGAGTCACCCCTGTGCATCACCGAGTGTGATCTCCCCCCCCCCCAAAAAAAAAGAAAAAAAGAAAAGAAAAAAAAAGGGATAGGCACTTGTCTTGCGTGTACCTGGGTCCTGAGTTTGATTCCCCGAGACCACATATGTTCCCTCAGAGGACTGCAGTAGTAAGTTCTGAGCACAGATGGATATGCTCCCACCGGGAGTGGGGTGTGGGGAACAGGAAAAATTCTGTTTCTATCTTCATTCCATACTTTTCTTTTTCTTTTTGGATCACACCCAGCAATGCACAAAGGTTACTCCTGGCTTATGCACTCAGGAATTACTCCCAGAGGTGCTTGAGATGCTGGGAATTGAACCAGAGTTAGCTGCGTGCAAGGCAAACGCTGTTACCTGCTGTGCTATCGCTCCAGTCCCCTATTCCATACTTTAAAACAAAATCAAGATAGATAAACTTAAACATGAAAAAAATATAACATAAAGAACAACAGCACCATGGAGATGGCTCCAAAGGCTGGAGTGCGGCCTTCTGCTCAATAAGAGAAAATGATGAATATGACAAAGGAAGAATGGTATGTAAAGGTTATTTACAGAGAAGGCTCTTTAGAGAACCTTAAGACTTCATTTTTGGGGTAGTTGCGTGGGGAATGGGAGTGTGTAAGACTTGGGGATGGTCACACCCAGTAGTCCTTAGGGCTTATTCCTAGTTCTAAGCTCAGGGATCACTCCTGGTGGTACTCAGGGACCATATCGGTGCTGGGGATCATATACAGGTGGGCTGTGCGCAAGGCAAGTGCCTTCCCAAATGTACTGTCCCCCACCTGGAACACAATTCTTTTGTGCTTTTTTCTCCTTCCTGTCTGCTTCCCTTCATTGCTGATGTTGTGTTGGGAGGGAGCTGCACACAGTCCTTTGTTGTGGGGCCTCTATATTTAGCTGTGTTGCTTGAGGGGAGGGCAGGAGGATACCAAGTTTTCTATGCATCTCACTTAACACTGCTAAAACTGTTCCCTTATTTGATTTGTGGCTAATAAAATAGTTGAATTGATTAAATCAAAGCATTAAAGCCCCTTAAATATACAAAAATCAAATCAAGCAATTATTATTTTTCTTTCAACTCCACCTTAAGAGACTGTGAAGAATTTTTTTTTCTTTTTGGGTCACACCCAGCGATGCTCAGGGGGTTATTTCAGGCTCTACACTTAGGAATTTCGCCTGGCGGTGCTCGGGGATCATATGGGATGCTGGAAATCAAACCCAGGTTGGCCGCGTGCAAGAAAAACGCACTACCTGTTGTGCTATCGCTCCGGCCTTGTGAAGAATTTAAAGCTTCTCCTGTCCTGTTTCCCTTTCCTCAAAGTTCAGTCAGACCACGTTGCAAGTTTGGCCTTGTTGCTAGATATGATTATATTTGCACAAGTTCCTTTCTTTTCTTCTCTTTCCCTCCCTCTTCCCTCCTTCCCTTTCTTTCTTCCTTCCTTTCTTCTTTCTTTCTTTTTTTTTTATTTTTGGGTCACACCCTGCAATGCACAGGGGTTACTCCTGGCTCTGCACTCAGGAATCACTCCTGGCAGTGCTCAGGAGATCATATGGGATGCTGGGAATCGAATCTGGGTCATCTGTGTGCAAGGCAAACGCCCTATCTGCTGTACTATTGCTCCAGTTCCCTTCCCTTCTTTCCTTCCTTCTTTCCTTCCTTATTTCCTTCCTTCCTTCTTTTTCTTTCTCTCTTTGCTTCCTTCCTTCTTCTCTCTCTTTCTTTCCTTCTTTCTCTCTTCCTTTCTTTCCTGGTGATGCTCAGGGGACCATGTTGGGATAATGGATTCCACAGATCAAATACAGGTTGGCTGTGTGCAAGGCAATCACCCTACTCACTGTCCTATCACCCCAGCTCTGGACAAATTTTTTCTATCAATTCCTTTCTATATAAAGATCTTCTCTAATGCCATTTAGGGAGGGCAGATTATACACAAACTGTGTGCTTACACACTTGACAAGTGGGGAATAAAATCGGGCACAGAGGAAGATAATCACAAAGTTTTGGTCAGCTATTGAGGAAAAAAACAACCTTCCCTTTGTGATGACAGTAATCTATGTTCCTTTCTGCATTTTAACTCTCATCCTCCACATTTAGTGATCAATCCCACCTCCATCACTGAAAAGACCAAGGCCAAATATCTAGACAAAATACTCTTAATTTGCATTTCCTCACACCTAGAGTAATTTCTGTCTCAGAGATAAGCTATCCTGAGTTTAAAATTTGCAACCTTCAAAGTCAAATGCTTTATTGCTCTAAATAATTACTTTGGGGCCAGAAAGATAAATAGTAAAGTAGGCAAGATGGGTGTTTGCACACATCCCACAGGGATTCCATCCCTGGCACCCCAGGTGGTCTGGAGTCCTGTCCAGAGTGATCCCTGTGAGAAGAGCCAAAATTAAGCCCTTAGCACTGCTGGGTGTGGTTCCAAAACAAAAACAAAAACAACGACAAAGATAGTGCAAACTAACTTATTAGGTTCCTCCTGGGCTGGAGAGTTGCATTCTCTTCTACTTTTCTGTTTTAATAAGCATTTTTTTTTCTAAAAAAAAAAAAGTGCAAGCAGAGGCGAGAGATAAGGTACAAGGGGGTAGTCTGCTTGCTATTCACACAACCGTTAGATTCTGGGTACCCCGTATGGTCCCTTGACAGTAATGATCCCCGAGCGCAGTCAGTAATAAGCCGAGTACTCCAGGGGTGGCCCAAAAAACCACCATCACCAACACTACCACCACCACAAAATGTGCAAGTACCACAGAGGGAAACAAGAGAAAGGGTACTTTCAATTTTGAGGGTCTATTTAGCACCTCTTCGGTTAAGTAAAAGCCTTTCTCCTCAACCCCCCCTCCAATAGGGGGATGTTGGTGTTATTACTAAGACAATTATTTCCCAGTTGTCATCCTACAAAGTTTTTTGTTTTACAGAAGGCATTTTTTTTTGGTGTTTGTTAAGCAAACCTTATTGAATGAATAATGAAGTAGGAAATACACATTCAAGAAAGCGGGGGCTTCTCCAGAGTGGAAAGAGCAAGTAAGCAGAGATAAGCAAGAGAAATACGTGCTCAAGAACACAAGGCTTCTTCTTTCCCTTTTCTTTCCAATTTTTTTTTTTTTTTGGAGAGGGTCACACCCAGCAGTGGCTAACTCCTGGCTCTGCACTCAGGAATCACTCCAGGCGGTGCCGGGGGACCATAGGATGCCGAGGATGGAACCCGGGTCAGCCGCTTGCAAGGCAAACGCCCTCCCCGCTGTACTATCGCTTCGGCCCCTTGTCTTCCCCTTTCTTTCAATCCACCCTCGCACGTTTTCTCCAATTCAAATGTCAATTCCGTCAGCTGACATGGATTTGCGTCTGCTTTATCTTTGCTTGGTTTATGCTTTCTCTTCACATAGAGAAGTGAAAGGCACAAAACCACTACGCACTCAGCCTTAGTGGAACGAGACACGAACACACCCCCGGAAGTCCCGTGACTCAGGATTAAATGAGACGGTGCCCGCCTACGCGCCCTCCAATAGGAAGAGAGAGAGAAGCCGGTGCCCGCCTTTGCTCCTTCCAATGGGAAGAGCCGGAAAAGCCCCGCCCCTCGCCTGGCCGCTAACGCGAGCAGAGACCTGACTGCGCAGCTGCATAGCCGAGCGGCTGACCCGGTAGGGTTCCTGCTAGTCGCGTTGATGACGCTAGCCTGCGACGTTGGCGCTTGCTTGGTGCGTCACTTCCGGTGAGCGGGGCACGAGCGTTCAACGGCCTGCAGAGCATCATGCCCAAGTGAGTCGGGTCCTGAATCGCGGGGCGTTTGCTGTTGGTCGCTAGTTGTGACTTGGGGCGGGAGGGGGATCGCGGAGAGGATTGTTTCCCTAGGGAGAGCCGCGGGTCCGAGGAGGGGGGCTCGGGGTGCTCGGGAGACCCAGAGCTCTAGATTCTTCCCCCCCTCTTTCGAATGTGGGGGTCGCTTCCGCGCGAGCAGCCAACCAGGCAACCTTGGCTTGTGTCTCTGGACGTCTCGAGGCCTTGCACAGGTTTCTGAGAGTGAGTGTGTTTCAGCTCACCCCGTTCCGGAGGGTGGCCGACCGTCTCTCGACTCCATTGTCATCTTTTCTCCACTCTCCGCCTCTTCCCAGGTTTTACTGTGACTACTGCGACACGTACCTCACCCATGACTCTGTAAGTGATGCGCCTTTTTTGGTTTCTTTAGATCTTCTAGGTCGTCGTTAAGGTCTTTCTACTTGTAGGTTTGTGTTGTCCTTTTTGTTTGTTTTGGTTTGTTTTTGGTTCCCCCCCCCCCCCCCCCATCTCCAGCTCAGTGCTTCGGGGACCGTGCATCGCCGGGATTGAACTGGGGTCTCCCACTTGCAAACGGTGGGCTCCAGCCCTTTGAGTTTTCTCCTTGACCGGAGTTGGACTGCTGAGCTACATCCCTCTGTGAGACTGAGCTTTTGTTCTGGTCTAAGGATTTAATTTGTGCATCCATCTTAACTTTGATGGGAATCAGGTACTTTGTAGGTTAATGCTAAGAGCATGGGGAGGGGGGGCGCTCCCATCCTCATTCTTGACAATAGGACTTACGGCTCTCAGGAGGCTGGGGTGCAATTGATGACTAGGGCCACCCTGGGGGTGCTTGGGGGGTGCTTGAGAGCCTCCAGTGGGCCATGGCTTGGCCTGTGGTGCCAGGGATCTAATTCCAAGCAACGCCATTCAAGGGATGTGCTCTTATCCCTTACACTAGCTCGCTGGCCCTAGCAGAAATATTTTTGCTGGCCAAATATTACTCTGAAAAAATAAGATTCACATTAATGTTACGCTCTAATCAGAAATGAACCTTAAAGTATTGGACTGTCTCATAGTCTCAGAGTTTTCTAAAATTTTTAATTTCCTTGCAAGTTGACATTGGTCATCCACAATCAGTTCAGTGCTGCTTGTTACTTTGCACCAGTGACAGACTCACTATTTTTTTTTCTATTTTTGGGGGGAGACTAATATTCTTTTTTTTTTTTTGGAAGTAGAAAATGACAATTTCATCAAGGAGGCTGGGTGGGGCGGGGGATGGCTTAGTGACTTAGGTGCTTTGCAGGACAGAAGCCCAAGTTTGGTCCATAGCACCACAATGTCCACTGACTACTGCTCGGAGTGATTCCCAGCTCAGACACAGAAGTTGCCTCTGGGTACTGCCAGCCTAAGCCAAAAATAAATAAATGTAGCAGGTGGACCTCACATGTTCAAGAGTTACCTCTCCTGTTTTACTTTGAAATAGCCCATTTGACATTTTTCAGAAGTGCCTTGTACATAATTCCTATTTTGTCACCCAGAACTTTGAAAAAGGCTTAACTTCAAGAGTTGGAATTTAAGGGGCTGGAGCAATAGTACAACAGGTAGGGCAACTTGCTTTACACACTGCTGATGTGGGGTTGATCCCCAATAACCCAGGTGGTCTCCCAAGCCCCTGCTAGGAGTGATCCCTTAGTGCAGTGCCAGGAGTTGGCTCTGAGGAATGCTGGGTATCTCCCCAAACCACAACAACAAATAATAATTGTACTGCTTGATGGGTGTTAGCAGAACTGGCTCCTCTCCCTTTCATGGGTGCATGGTATTAAAGAGCACATAGATTATTTTCTTGATTTATTCTGAAGTGCTGCAGCTGAGGAGAGGAGAGAAGAGCGAGGAAGGCACTTTCCTTGTGTGCAACCAACCTGGCACCACATATGATTGCCTGAGCACCACCAGAGTGATTCCTGAACACTGCCAGGTGTGGCCCTCAAATAAAAACTTATATAGCACAGGTTTGACATCAATGTAAAGGTTAATACAGCACACAAAGATGGTCTTGATACTGTTTTGAAACTACTTTGATTTTGCACATAACCGTAGAAAGACTTTAGAGATCCTTTGTTCCCTGAGAACACTCCTTGAGAACAGCAGCTCTGTACTTTGTTGCGTATGTAAAAATGATTAAATCACAGCTATCTTGAATAGTAGCTACAGCGATCTACAAAGCCAGTGAGTTCTTTATTGTTTCATTGGGAATTCTAGCAGGTGGCTAGATATATTTCAGTTTTGGTCAATTCATGGGATATATAGAGTGAATGCTTTTACAGAAATAATGGTTCTGAATATTAGTGTAGGGCCAGAGCGTTAGTGCAGTGGGAAGGCATTTGCCTTGCACACTGACAACCCGGATTTGATTCCTGTTATCCTGTATGGTCCTTGAGCTTAACAGGAGTGATTTCTGAGCATCTCTGGGTATGACCCAAAAACCTAAAAATAAATCAGTGGAGATTGTCCTGGAGGAGTTTATTCCCAATAATTTGGGCTGGTATTAGCTTGCTTATGGCCCCAAGTCTTGATTTTTTTTTCTTTTTTTGTTTTTGCTTTTGTTTTTGTTTTCTGGGCCACACTTGGAGGTTCTCAGGGCTTATTGCTGGCTCTGTGTTCAGGGATCACTCCTAGTGGGGCTTAGGGGAAGCATTTGGGATGGCTGCAGTTGAATCTGTGTCAGCTGCATGCAAGGTAATTGTCACTGTAGTATCTCTCCAGCTCCTCAAACTTTATTTTTGTTCTTTTCCTTCTTACTTCCCCATCTCTAGATCAAAACCCGAGTCCTAATTTCTGAAATTGTAATAGGGTTGTACTTTTCCATGCCAGTTTGGTATTTGTATTATGTAGCCACTCATCTTGCTAACACCAAAATTCAAGAGAATTGAAAAGTATTTCTACTTCCTTGTTGATACGTCAGAAACCCTTGTTAATAGTATTTTTATAAAATGATAATCCTGTGAGAATAGAAAATTTTCCTGGTAAGTTGAAGCAGTTGCTTGTGGTCAATTTTAAAATGTATAAGACATTCGGTGGTAAGGGCTGGAGCCAGTGAGGAGATTGATAGGGAGCATCTGAACAAGATTTGGCATCTAGGCCGTGGTTTGCTGCTTAGCCAGCTATGTGTTTGGAGACAACTGGTTTTGGTTGTGGTCTGCACCCGGGGATTCTCAGGATCATACTTATACTGTGCATAGGGATATGCACATAACTCAGTGTTAGGGATTGAACCTGGGGTTCTTGCATACAAAATGTACTCCAGCCCTTTGAGCTATCTGGCCAGCTCTGAGGCAGATCCTTAATATAAATAGATGATAACCTTATGATTTTTTTCCCACCAGTTTTATTGAATTATAACATGTCAACTTAAATGCACACAGTTATAAAGCATACAGTTGACATATAGCTTATGTGTCATCTGTAACTTATAGACTTCACATAACTTATAGATTAACATATAGCTGTAACATTTAGCATACATCAAGTGAATTATTTTTCTAGCTCTGAAAATTCCCTTGTATTTCTTTGCAGTCAGTCCCTTTCAGCCCTGGCTCAACTGATCTGCTTTTTATTATTGAGGATCAGTATTGCGTGTTTAAAACTTCTTATGAGGGCCAGAGTTGTGGTACAAGGCCAACCCAGGATCGAGCCCCGTCATATGTCCCCTGAACTAGGAAAAAGCCAGGAGTAACCACTGTGTATGGCCCCAAAACAAACTAAAAAAGCCCAACTTGATATGAATGGAATCCGGGGGATTTAACTACCACATATGACGATGCTCAGGGGTACTCCTCATTGCCCAGTGCTCAAGGGACCCCACGAGAGGGGGCTAACTGGGCTCGTCTGTATGCAAGGCATGTGCCGAGCTCCTGTTCTAGCTTTCCTTCTTCTGAGTGGAATCTTTTGTTATTAGGCTTGGTGTATTTGTCTGAATTCTTGACCCCAGCATGTTGTGGAGATTCATCCATTTTTTGTATATTAGAGATTTTTTTTCCTGATGAGAATTCCATTGTAACACACACACACACACACACACACACACACACACACACACCTCCCCCTGTAGTTGGGAGGGAACTCTCAAGCAGTGCTCATGGGAGTCTTACCTGTTTTTGACCAATCTACCTTCCTGGGGATTGAACTAGAGTTGGCCAGCACAAGGGTGAGCTGCATGTAAACCATGCATCTTAACTCCCAGACTGCCTCTCCGGCCCACTCATGATTTTTTTTTTTGCGGGGGGTGGGGTCATACCCGGCAATGTACAGGGGTTACTCCTGCACTCAGGAGTTAGTTCTGGCGGTGCTCAGGGGACCATATGGGATGCTGAGAATCGAACCTGGGTTGGCAGCGTGCAAGGCAAATGCCCTATCCGTTGTGCTATTGCTCCAGCCTCTCCACTCATGATTTTTTATAAAGACTGGGCCATAACTTTTCGGGGAGATAGACAGTACTCTCCGGTATATAATGTTAAATTTAATATTTTTTTTCTTTTTGGGTCACATCCGGCAATGTATAGGGGTTACTCCTGGCTCTGCACACAGGGATTACTCCTTGCGATGCTCAGGGGACCATATGGGGTGCTGGGAATCAAACCCAGGTTGGCCGTGTGCAAGGCAAATGCCCTACCCCCTGTGCTATCGCTCCAACCCAAAAATTATTTTTAATGTAACTTTAATTAAAAAAAGGTTGGGGTAGGGGCAGGAGATATATGAGGCCCTGGTTCAATCTCTGGTACTATAAAAACTAAACAAAAACAAAAGATCAGTAAGGCTGTGAAAGAAACAACTAAAAAGCCTAGTGGGCCAGAGATGAGGATCTTTAGGTGATTTATATAGAATTTTTACTCGATGAATAAAGAGCAGAGGTTTCCTTTTTTTTTTTTTTTTTTTTTTTTTGCTTTTTGAATCACACCGGCGATACACAGGGGTTATTCTTGGCTCATGCACTCAGGAATTACTCCTGGCGGTGCTCGGGGGACCATATGGGATACTGGGAATCGAACCCGGGTCGCCTGTGTGCAAGGCAAACACCCTGCCCGCTGTGTTATCACTCCAGCCCCCAAGGTTTCCATTTTTTTGGCCTGTACTCCCTCTTAAAAAAAGAATTTACTCAGCACACCTTGCAAAACTGCCTTGAGGGAACAGATAGCCCTCGATTGCACCCACGCTTACTGCGTCCTCACATAAGTTTTGAAATTGCTATGTTAGAAAGTTTCTTAGAGTCCCGGAATTATTGAACTTTGGACTTCACACAATTCTGCCATTGCATTGTAGAGGGACGACAGACAGTGCATAAATGAGTATAACTCTTTGCCTGTTTTTTTTTTCTTTTGCGGGTTTTGGGCCACATCCAGTGATGCTCCAGGACTTCTGGCTCTGCAGTCAAGAATTACTCCTGGTGGTGCTTGGGGAACCATGTGGGGTGCTGGGGTCAAACCTGGGTTGGCCTCATGCAAGGCAAGCACCCTACCTGCTGTATGATCGCTTTGACATTTCTTATTTTAAAAATCAAGTTGTTGGCTTATGGGCCATAGTTTGCTGATGCCTGGTTTTAGGTAAGAGGCTCAGTAAGTTTTCGCAATGTCTTGTTGAATACAGTTTACGTATGCTGCTTTAGTGCCCAATGAAAGCTGCTAAAGGTAGCCAGACTACCTGTGTGAATGTAAGGCTTTAGAAGAATTTCTGATTTTGAGTATCTCTTCCTCTGAGTGCCATGACTGTTTTGTTTTCCAGCCATCTGTGAGAAAGACTCACTGCAGTGGCAGGAAACACAAAGAGAATGTGAAGGACTACTATCAAAAATGGATGGAGGAGCAGGCCCAGAGCCTGATCGACAAGACAAGTACGGTTCAGTCTCTTGTTGGGATGTGGAGAATGGCCCTTTCTTCCCCCTCCTGTCTCTGTTGTTTTTCACAGGACCAGTTCATTCTGATGATAAATAGGGGCATTGTGATATGCTGATGAAGGAGTGGAAGGTCATTGGTTTCCCAGGGGTATAGGAACACATTAATATTAATTACTGAGGTTAGACCCACCAGGTATTTGGTCAGACTGGGAAGTGGGGCAGAGAACAATCTTAGTTGCCTAAGACTTCTTGACTGATGTGGACTAGATTTGTAGCCAATTTAGATAAACCCTCCTCTGGCCCTTCTAGTTTCTCGAACTTCTTCCTGTTGTAGTAAAAGTGGGAAGGGGTGGGTTCGTAGTTCTTTTAAAAGAATTAAGAGAGGTTTGAGTTACTTTTTCTTTGCTGTCCTGACAAAAATCATGGGTGGGGAAGTTACTGAGGTGACAGCTTAGTCTGCAGCCTGGGTATGTCCCCGGACTCTCTTTAATTAGGGTTGTCCGATGCTGTTCATGGCTTGGCTCCCGGGCACTGACACAGGAACTTGGCTTCTGTATTAGATCATCATGGTGTTTTCTAAATGAGGCCTTTCTTAATCTTGCATTGTACTCCCAGCTGGCAGGCAAACGGAAACTTGATTGTGATGTTGATGCAGATGACACTAGCTAGTCTCTGTTCCTTCTTGATTCCCAGGTTCTTTAGTATTTTCCAGAATGAAAATAGTGAATAATAAAAATGCTCAGACTCAGTTGGAAAGTAGAAGAGAAAAGAAAAGGAACTCTTGAAATGGGGAGGAACTTAGAATAGGACTAAGTTAAGGTAAGGGAGTTTTGTGGAGGCCTTTTTAAGGGCACCTGGCATCCCTTATGGGTTGGCAAGTCTTTACAAAAGATGCCAGAAAATTACAGTAATAACTTGCTGGTCTAAATCATTCTGGGCCTTGTAGTCTCCCTGTTGGCCTAGGCTCCAGGACAGATTTTTATGGTCCTGGAAATCTCGATGACGCCTGGGCCAGGACTTTGGGAATGAAATGTGTCAGGACGATGGGGAAAGGTGGCAAGGGGAAACTGTGGCTTCCTTCTTCACTGGCAAGGGGAAGCAAATCTTCTGGGCCTAATTGCCCATTGTCTTAGTTTCCCTGTTAGCCTCGACTCCAGGGCAGAATTTTGTGTTCCTGGGAAGCCCCAGGAATGCTTAGACAGAACTTTGTGGGTGCAGTGTGTGTCCGGTTGACAGGAGAGAGATGAAACTGTGGCTTTGTCACTGGCAAGGGGAAATAGACTTCCTCTTTCAATGTGAATGGTTTATTTTGGCTGGTGGGCGTTGCTTCAGGTGGTGACCCAGCTTCAGGATCACCCCGGCAGGGCTGGCGAACCATGTGTAGTGCTAGGGATTGAACCTGGGTTAGCTGTGTACAAGGCAAGCACTTTACCCACTGTACTACTGTTCTGGCCTGTGACTGTTTTTGGAAAACAAACTATTATGGAAAATCATAAAGTTGATAGGTTAAATGATGCTCTTCTCCCTGCTCAAAATTCTTTGTCTACATCCCTTTCTCCATTCTGCTTTTGTTTGCTTCCTTGTATTTTAATCCAGTATTCTTTTATTTTTTCATCAAGTGTGTGTGACTGGTTGTGGAATACTTAATATGCTCATTAATATGGTCCTTAATTCTCGTGGCAAGAACATGTGTCTCTCTGCTCTGTAACAATGCCGGGTACACTGCGCCTTTCCAGTTTCACCAGTACATTGTGGGACGTTCCTTTTGAATAAAGACTGTTTCATAGATGTCTCCAGTATCACCTTCCTCTAGATAATCCATGTGTGAGCTCCAAGAGAGAGCACGCTTTCCTGAAAGACTGCATATAAGGGTGCCTCACAGCACACAGGTTCCAGCCCTCCAAGCTTTTCCTCCTGCCTCCCAACAACTTACATTGTTTAACAGTGAAATCTCTTGATTTAGAATGACTCATTTCTTGGGCCATACAATACAGAAGTTCAGGTATACCTTGCATGTGGCTGGCAGGTTCCATCCTTGGCCCTCTAAGTGCAGCTCTGGAGCCCCCCGGCATTGCCCAGTAGGACCCCTGGCACTTCTAACTGGAGCAGGAGAAGGTATCCTCAGACCCTGGTGTAGAACCAGCCCAGTTGGGCCAGAATCTCAATCTCTCTCTCTCTCTCTCTCTCTCTCTCTCTCTCTCTTTTGGTGGGTTTGGGCTTCACCCTGTGTTGCTCAGGGATTGCTCCTGGCAGTGCTCAGGGGACCTTATGAGCTGCTGGAGACAGAACCCAGATCAGCTGCATGCAAGGCAGCACCCTGCCTGCTGTACTCAAGCCCCTGGGTGAGAACCTTTAGGAGGGGTTCTGCTTGGGAACCCTCCCCCCAACCTGCAGATAAATAAAATGACATCTTTGCTAAGATAATCAGAAGTTTACTTCAATCTCTCATAATTAATTCAGTCTTAGAAATGCAAAATAGTTTTTTTTTAAAAAAAGACTCTGAAGCCAGTTTGCAACTCATAGATGGTTGTTGTACTTTTTTAAAAATATAATCACTGTAAGATGCAGTTACAAAGCTTTCATGATTGAGTTTCATTCATAAAATGATCGAACATCCATCCCTCCACCAGTGCACTTTCTCCACCACCACTGTTCCCAGAATCCCTCCTGGCTCCCCGGTTGTTGAATTCTTACTGTGTTTTCCCCCTTGCTCTCTCCAAAGCTGCTGCATTTCAACAAGGCAAGATTCCTCCGACTCCATTTTCTGCTCCTCCTCCGGCAGGGGCAATGATCCCACCTCCGCCCAGTCTCCGTAAGTTGAGAAAGTATTTTAGGGGGGTAATTGGACAGATTCTCGTTAATTTTGATAACTAATCTCACAGTTGATTTTCAAATGTTTGTTGAATAAGTCACGGAGTCACGGTCACGGTCCTCCCGTTGTTCATCGATTTGCTCGAGTGGGCCCAGTAACATCTCCATTGGAGACTTTGTTGTTACTGTGTTTGGCATATTGAATACGTCACGGGGAGCTTGCCAGGCTCTGTCGTGCAGGCAAGATACTCTCCGCTCCGAGAGGGGCGGAGGAATTGAACTCGAGTCGGCCACGTTGGCTGCGTGCAAGGCAAACGCCCTACCTCTGTGCTATCGCTGTAAGTTGAGAAAGTATTTTAGGGGGGTAATTGGACAGATTCTCGTTAATTTTGCTAACTGATCTCACAGTTGATTTTCAAATGTTCGTTGAATAAATATAGAGAGTAAATTCAATGGTATATGTTTTAAATGTCTTAGAATTATCTTTTTATTTAATTGTTAATAGGATATTGTGTTTGTGGCTTTCTAAGTGTGGCTCCAAGATAAATTCACTGGAATTCTGAAATAGCTATGATGAGATGAACTGATAAATGAAAGATACTACGGTCCATTAAGCTATATAGTACTGTAAACACTTTACTGGAGGATTAAAATTGATAAAAAGCTTTGTTAAAAAACAAAAATTGGGGCTGGAGCAATAGCACAGCAGGTAGGGCGTTTGCCTTGTATGTAGCTGACCCGGGTTCGATTCCCAGCATCCCATATGGTCCCCCGAGAAGTAATTCCTGAGTATAGAGCCAGGAGTAACCCCTGTGCATTGCCAGGTGTGACCCAAAAAGAAAAAAAAAATTGGATGGGCTAGCGAGATAGTACAGCAGGTAGGGTGGCCAGGGTAGCGTTTGCCTTAACTGTAGCAACCGGGTTTGATCCCCAGCATTCCTTCCATATGATATCCTGAATCCCACCAAGAGTTATCTCTGAGGTCAGAGCCACTATGCACTGCTGGGTGTAGCCCAAAAACAAAAAAAACAGCTTCCAAAATTGGATAGTTGGAATTAGTGTAGAGTAGACGCCTCCACTCACTAGGAGGTTTATGTTTTCGGCATGGTGGGCTGAAGAGAGAATGGCAAGTCTGGGCTCGAGAGATAGTTTTAGTGGGGTGGGTGTTTCCCTTGCACATGGCCAACCCAGGTGTGATCCCTGGCATCCCATATGATCTTCCGAGCACTGCCAAGAGTTAATTTCTGAATGCAGAGTCAGGAGTAACCCCTGAACATTGCCAGGTATGACTTAGCAAAGCCCCCACCTCCCCACTCCCCCCCAAGAGGTTTTTTGTAATTTTTTTAAAAGGATTCATCTGTTGCCAGACTTTACAAAAATTTTTTGGGGAGGTCACACTTCTCTGATACTTCTGGTTTTGCACTCAGGGTTCACTCCTGGTGGTACTTGGGGGACCATGTGGGTTGCTCAGAATCGAGCCTAGGTTAGCCACATGGAATGCTGCTATGCAGTTGCTCATTTTAAGACTTTAGTGAAGTAAATAGTTTTAGAGAGATGTGAGTAGGGAAGATGCATATTTGCAGCTTGTAAGGCCGCAGCAGAGAATGTGCTTCCATTATTTTTAATAATAAAAAATGGTGAAACGGTGTGGCGTGATTATAATGTGGGGTGGGGTTTGGGGTTGTTTGATTTTGGCCACACCTGGCTGGCCAGTGCTCAGGGATTATTCCTGGGACCACATGTGGTACTGAGACTGACCCACACGCAAGGCAAGTACTGCTGTACTATCTCCTCCAGCCCCTGTGACGTATTTTTAACCTTGCTGGTTATTTCCTCGTAGGCACTTAAGCTGTTCCATGTTGTTGGTCTTGCGAATGTTATTATAGTCAGGAATGTATCTGCATGACATATCTGTGTACTTTATTTAAAAGTATATTTCTGAAATTACGTACTTGGGAAGTTCATCCGCTTTTTGTCAGGCACTCTGCAAAAGGTATCATGCACCCTCTATAAAATTTAAAATCTTGGGGGCTGGAGAAATAGTATAGAGAAGAGGTAAGGTGTTTGCCTTTCCTGTAACAACCTGGATTTGACCCTGTGCCCTTCATGGTCCCCCAGGTACTGCAAGGAATGAACTTTGAATGTAGGGCCAGGAGTATTGAGCATTGCCTTATGCATTGCCAGATGAGTCCCCAAAATAAAATCTTTAGAAATGTAAAATATTTGTTTTCTTTGGGGGTGGCGGCAGAGCACAGGGGTGGTGCTTTGGGCCTCACACAGTGATGCTCAGGATTGATGCCCCATGGTACCAGGGACTTAAACTAGGGTCCATAGAATGTAATGCTGGCTTGTTTCATGACCCCTATACTACCTCTCTGGTCTTGGGCCTTTGGGCCACACTTGGCAGTCTTCAGGGCCTAATTGAGGCGGTGCTTGGGGTGCCATGTGCAAGGCAGTGCCAGGGGTCAGCCGCCTGCAAGGCAAGCACTTCATGTGCTGTGCTGTCTCTCTGGCTCTGGCCCTGGGGATTTTCGTTTTGTTTTTGGAGCCATACCCTTCATTACTCAGGGATTGCTCCTAGCTACACCCAGGAATCACTTCTGAGATTCTGGGGCCCAAATCCATGTTGGCCACGAAGCAATACCTTACCTGCGTACTATCTCTGGCCCTGGCTCTGGAATTCTGTAACCGATGGAGCCTGATTTCATTTTCACTTTTGTCTAGACAGGTTTGTTTGTGCTTCAAAATAATTAAGTTTTGTGGCATGCTGATTTTTCTTGATCTATTATCACAAAAATTGTCTGTTGTAGAACACAGAGCTTTGCATGCATGAGGCCTGGGTTTATCGCGTGGCACACAAGCACAAAAAAATACCAGTATTCAAGAATTGGCATCAGATTCTGATTGGTTTCATTCAGAAGAGAGAGTGTTTTGCATGTAGAGGGCGCCCAAGTTCCATCCCTGTACACCAGAGCCTCCTGAGTACCAGTAGGAGTGATCCCTGAGCTTCTCAGGTGTGTCACAGAAAGAGGGAACAGAGGAGGGCAGGGAGACGAGGGAGAGAGAGGGTGGGAAGAAGAAAAGAAAACAGCCTATGTATAAGTTTCTCTTTTGGCCACAGCTCATGGTGCTCAGGGTTTACTCCTGGCTCTGTGCTCAGGGATCGTTTCTGTTAGGGTTTTGGGGACAGCAGGGGAGTCTGGGGATTGAAGCCTGGTTGGCCATGTGCAAGGCAAGTGCCTTACCTTGTGTTACGGTCTCTGGCCCCGTGTATGCATTTTTTGTTTGGTTGCTTTTTGGCCACACCTGGGATTGCTTGGGGTTTACTCTGGCTCTCTGCTCAGGGGATCATACGGGGTGCGTGGGATAGAACTTGGGTTGGCTGCTTGTAAGGCAAGCACCCTGTCTACTGTACTGTCACTCTGGCATATTTTAACCTTGGGTCTCATTCTTTGTTTCAGCTGGTCCTCCTCGCCCTGGGATGATGCCAGCACCCCATATGGGGGGCCCTCCCATGATGCCAATGATGGGCCCCCCTCCACCTGGGATGATGCCAGTGGGACCTGGTAAGTTAGCTTCTAGGAGATTATATTGTGTTTTAGTTCTCCAGAAAAGTGGGGTTCTTTTGTGTTTGTTCTCCAAAAAAGTGGGGTTCTTTTTTTTTCTTTTTGGGTCACACCCGATAATGTATAGGGGTTATTCCTAGCTCTGCACTTAGAATTACTCCTGGCGGTGCTTGAGGGACCATGTGGGATGCTGGGAATCGAACCCGGGTCGGCCTCATACAAGGCAAATGCCCTACCTGTTGTGCTATTGCTCCAGCCTCGATAAGTGGAATTCTTATGTTTGTGATTTTACTTAGTGAACTCTAATGAGAAAGAAAAATATTTGGTTTATCTGTGTGAGAGGATGGATCCAAAGACCCTGCCCTCCTAAAAGCTGAAGAAGGCCGCTCTTTCCCCTTCTCTCTCCCCTTTTTCCTGCCACCTCCAGACTTACCTTTATAGTGAAGAGGAAGGTCGGTGAGCTTGTTCAGGTGGAGCGGAGGAAAGGGTGATAATAGGGTCATCCTGCTACTTGTTCAGTTTTGAATTGGAGTAGTGGCTGCCTCCAAGTGCTCCTTTAGTCTCATGGTTAATGAGGCCAGATCAGCCTATGAAAGAGGTGTCAAAGGTTGGCCTGAGCAATAGTATGGCAGCAAGGGCATTTGCCTTACTTGCTACTGACTAGGGATTGATCCCCAGCATCCCATATGGTTCCTGAACACCTCCAGGAGTGATTTCTGAGTAGAGCCAAGAGTAAGCCCTGAACCCTGCCGTCTGTGGCCCCCAAACAAATGGCGTCAAATGGAGAATCCTCAGTGTCTTAGAACACGGGCCTCCAGCTTGTGGTCACGGGTCAATACAACCATGTGCCCAGGTGTCTCAGCTCACCCTGGAGCTCTGTGTCTCTGGTCCTCAGCGCTGCAGGTGATTTCCAGCTTTGCCCAGGGCAGGGGTGCAGCCACAAGTAACTGAAAAGCGAGCACCAGCACTCAGATGCCTGAGCACTGTGGCCAGCTACAGCAACTGCGGCCAGTGCTCCCACCAGGATGCCCATTCTGCAGCTAGAGTGTGACATTTTTTTTTCTTTTTGGGTCACACCCAGCGATGCACAGGGGTTACTCCTGGCTCTGCACTCAGGAATCACTCCTGGTGGTGCTCAGGGGACCATATGGGATCCTGGGAATCGAACCTGGGTCGGCCGCGTGCAAGGCAAACACCCTACCTGCTGTGCTGTTGCTTCAGCCCCTAGTGTGTGACTCTTACCGAACCTTCCGGAAGGTGAAAAAACCTTATACCACCAGCATTTGATTTCGATTTCCTTTTGGTTTTTGGCCTAAGGTGGGGCTACTCCTGGCCTAGTGCTCGGTGATTGCTCTGTGAAAGGAAAGTGCTCCCCCAGTGAATACAGTCTTGGTCCCAAGCATTCAAGCATTTCATGTAAAATAATTTGCCAGTTTTTCTAATCCACGGTTGTGGGGTTTTTTTGTTTTTTATTATTTTTTTTTTTAATGAATCACCGTGAGAGAGTTCCAGAGCTTTCATGATTGAGTTTCAGTTATACATTGATCAAGCACCCATCCTTCCACCAGTATATATTTTCTGCCACCTGGTTGTGGATTTATTTTGAGATTGGTTCTGCTGATTTTTGTTTTTTTTTAGTATCCTGTGTACTTGTGTAAAGCATGCCCAGAACTACACATCCTTCACCCGCTTTAGTTTCATTTTCTCTCAAGTCATTAGAGAATGAGGCTGTTTAGTTGTAACCCTGCTCTCACAGGGTTGCCTTCTAAATTTATGAACACTGTTTCAAGGGTGATGGGTGGAAACTAAGTATCAACATAGTTTTCATACTTATAATTTTGCTCAGGGATGACTCTGGGCTCTGTGCTCTGGTCACTCTCTGGTACCAAACCTGGGCCTCCCACACATGAAGCATGAGCTCAACCCATTGGATTGTCCAGCCCAGTGACTGTGTTTTAAACACTCCTTTTATTGGCTTGTAGATTTATTAGTCAAATTAGGTAAATGAGCAAATGCAGCTGACATCGGAAGATTTCGATCCGCCCAGAAGGCCAGGCTGCGAAGGTGTTGAGGAGCTTCCTAGCCAGAAGCGTTCTTGTGCTTGCTGTGTGTGATCATTTAGGCACACGAGGGTCTAGATTCAAAATTATGGCTTACTGGTTTGTGAGTTCAAAGCACAAGTAACTTAAGGTGGCTCCTTTTGGCCTTTGGGGGGGGGGGGGTGCGCACTACCAGCAGTGCTCAGGGCTTGCTCTTGGCTCTGCACTCAGAAATTGCTCCTGGTAGGACTTGGGGAAACCATCTCAGGTGCCAGTGGATTGAACCTGGGTCTGCCACATGCAAGGCAAACACCTTACTATTTCTCTGTACTGTCTGTGTCTCTCTCTGGACTCTACATTTTTTCCTCTTTCCTTTCTCCCTTGGTTGTTGCAAAGTTTATTGTGGGATTCCAGAGGTTATGATTTTTGCTTATTGTACCAGGGAATCCTGTTCTGCCATCAGGATCACACTCAGGAACTGACCTCGTGGCTTTACACACAAGGCAGCTGCTCTAGTATTGTGCCGCATTCCCATGCCCCTTTTAGGCTGTCTCTCCTTTTTTTTCAGCATAATATATTTTTAAAAAATTCATTTGTGGCACCATGATTGACCATGCTGTTACTGATAGGGTTTCATTCTTATAATATTCCTCCACCTGCCCCTTCCCCCATGTCTGCTTCCCTCCACTATTCTTTGGCATTCTTAATTCGAGGTCACAATTTAAATTCACAAAGGGCTTAGGGGTGTGGGACACGGGAGAGTGCATCCTATCCAGTTAAGCCTTTCAGGACTCAGCTTTAGCCCGTGGTTGAGTTTAATGGTGCAGGCTTGGTGCTCCCGATTCCGGGTATCTTTCTGTTTTTATAGATCCCAGTGCTTAATGGTTGATGATGGGTAGATGGATGTTCATTCTACTCCTTTATTCTGATTGTTTATATTTATTTTTGTTTGGGGCCACACCCAGTGGTGCTTGGGGTCACTTCCTGTGGTACTTTGGGGGGGGCATATGATGCTGGGAGTTGAACCCGTGCCCCTGTGTGCAGAGCATGCCCTCTGTCTTGCGCTCTGTCTTTTTTGTTTTTGGTTTTGGTTTTTTAGGCTACACCTGACAATGCTCAGGGGCTCTTCCTGGCTCTGCACTCAGGAATTACTCCTGAGATGCTGGGGATCGAATCTGGTCAGTTTTGTGCAAGGCAACCGCCCTACCACTGTACTATCACTCCAGCCTCACTCACTTTCTTTGTTTTGTTTTGTTTTTGTTTGGGGCCCACACCCAGCAATGCTTATAGCTTACTCCTGGCTCTACGCTGAGATCATTCCTGTTAGTGCTTAGGGCACCATGTGGGATGCCGGAGTATCCACAAACCTGGGTCAGTTGTGTGCAAGGCAAGCTCCCTACCTTCTGTACTCTCTCTCTTGCCCCATCATGGCATATTTTAAAAATAAAATAAGCTTGGGGCTGGGGAGATAGTATAGCGGGTAAAGCACTTGCTTTCATGTGGCTGACCCAGGTTCAATCCCCAGCTTTCAGTATGGTCCCCGAACATTGCCTGGTGATTCCTGAGCATCACCAACTGTGGCCCAAAGACCAGAAAAGCAGAAAATAAATAAAATGAGATCATCTCTGTTCCTGTTGAAATATATCTTAAAATTTCATACCTGTTGTATTATTTAGAGGGAAGGAATGGGGTTTCCATGCGGTGCTCAGAGAGCCCGCGAGTACCTTGTGGTGGTTCTCAGCCAAACACCCAGGGTTTTAATGTGGGGGTCTGCGAATGTGCTGAGCTCAGAGCCCAGGAGCTGGGGGTTACCCGGCCACCCCAGCAGCATCCAGGTATCTCCAGGGCTGTGCCTGTTGGTACATAGGGGACCATGTGGTGCAAACTCAGGTGGGGTGGGTGGCATACTATTTTCCAGTCCTAAATCTTTCATCTTTTTTTTTTTTTTTTTTTTTTTTTTTTTTGCTTTTTGGGTCACACCCAGCAGTGCACAGGGGTTAATCCTGGCTCATGCACTCAGGAATTACTCCTGGCAGTGCTCGGGGGACCATATGGGATGCTGGGAATCGAACCAGAGTCGGCTGTGTGCAAGGCAAATGCCCTACCCACTGTGCTATCGCTCCAGCCCCCCTGAATCTTTCATTTTAACTAGATATATTAAAAAGAAAAAAATGTGGTACAGGGCACACCTGATTGTACTCAGGGCTTACTCCTGACTCAGTCAGGGATCACTCTTGGTGGGGCTCTTGGGATCATCTGGGGTCCCGTAAAGCAAACCTGAAAACCTGGATTTGGCCGCATTGGCTGTTGGCTGTATGGGAGGCAAGGTCCTTCTTTACCGCTGCACTGTCTCTTTGGCCTATAATAATTTTAACGAAAAATACGACTTTTGTGTATTTTTGATCAGTTTTTAGGCCATCCCCCCAGGTGCTGGGGAAAGAAGGGGCCTGCTCCTAGTGCAGTGCTCAGACACTCCAGGTGGTGCTTGGGGGTACCATGTGGTGACAGGGTTTGAACCTAGGGCTCTTGCACACAAAGCATGGTCTCTCTAGCCTTTGGGCTATCTTCCTGACCCTTTATAAGAAGATCTGTAGCATGAGAAATCAGGCCTGACAATAAAATGCGCATCCATGAGCCCAGCACGCAGTTGAGGATGCTGAGGGCATGAGGCTTTGCCTGTTCATGAGGCTGCCTGTGACCCGGCCCCACCTCTGCTTGCCCGCCTTTCTCTGGTCCCTCGATTTGGCTGTTTTTTTTTTTTTTTTTTTTCCGTTTTTGGTTCACACCCAGCGATGCTCAGGGGTTATTCCTGGCTCTGCACTCAGGAATTGCTCCTGGCGGTGCTTGGGGAACCATATGGGATGCCAGGGGATTGAACCCAGGTCAGCCGCGTGCAAGGCAAACGCCCTACCCGCTGTGCTATTGCTCCGGCCCCTTGGCTGGTGTATTGAAGAGACTCTTTAGAGACGTCATTTCTTGATCCTAAAGTGCATTGAGATAGCGGGTTGGTTTGAGTACTAATGGTTAGTGTTGCCTGTTACTGTTTTTGAATCGGACACAGTACTATTACTTACTCAGTGTTCAGCTTGGCCTCCTGCTCCTCACCTTTCCTGCAAGTCTGAGCATATGCCCCATGCCAGATGGCTTTTGGTGCTTGTGAGCGTCTAGGAGGCAGCTTCCTGTTAGGTTGTAGACAGAACTGAGGAGAGCTGACTGGAGAACATCAGGCTTCGTTGTGACTTTGCGTGAGTGAGAAGGTCATTGTAGTGAACCAGCATCTCTGGAATTTCTGCAGAACCATCTAGTGGTGACTTTCTCTTTCCTGTCACTCAGTCCTGAGGCTGCAGGTGTGCCTTTGTGTGAGACAGTGTCTTAAGTAGTTCACAAACATGGATGATTTGCCTTTGCTCTGTCAAGTGCCTTCTTCTTGCATTTTGCAGGGTGGGGCTCTTTGATCTTTTATAATTAAGGACCTTGTACAAAAAAATTCTGATTTTTCCCCCCCCCCTGCAGCTCCTGGAATGAGGCCGCCAATGGGAGGCCATATGCCCATGATGCCTGGGCCTCCAATGATGAGACCCCCTGCCCGTCCCATGATGGTGCCCACCCGGCCTGGAATGACTCGACCAGACAGATAAGGAGAGTGGGAGCCGATCTCTCTCTCTCTCTTTTTCTCTCTCTCCACTTCCTGTCACTTGTTCTTCTTCACCAGGAGATCGTGGTGCTGTGACTCTGGGTATTCTCCAGCGGCATTAGAGGGAGACTTGCCCCCGCTTCCCATCAGAGAGAGGATAGTTTTGGAGGGGGTAGTAAATGGAACAAAAAAACAATTTTCATTTGTATTGTGAAACATGGAAATAAAGTTGTCGACTCTTAGTTAAAAGAAACATGCTCCTTCTCCCTTCTGTGTATTTTAAGGGAGATGCTGCCTTCCACTTTGTTTCTCTGCTGATTAGTCACACCTGGGCTTACTCCTGGCTCTGCACTCAAGACTTGCTCCTCCTGGCTTTGCTCGGGTAACCATATGGGATGCCAGGGATCAAACCTGGGTTGGCCGTGTGCAAGGCATGTACCCTGCCCGCTGCCCTACCTCTCTAGCGCCTCTTTCTGATTTTTTAACACATCTTCTGCCTGGCATTCTTTTTCTTTAGCTATAGAGTGGAACCTTTTGTGCACTCTGCTTTTATTCAGTAAAGTCCTCTCGTGCAGGATTTTAATAAACTGGGACTGGTTCCTTAGTATGGCAGGTAGTGCACTTGTCTTGCACGCAGCCCACTGGGGTTCTATCCCTGACACCTTATGTGGTCCCCTGACAGTTGTGATGCCTGGGTGCAGAGCCAGGATAAGCCCTGATTACCACTGGGCGTGGCACAAAAAAAAGACTAATACCTTTGACACTTGGAGAGCTGTTACTGATGAAGAAAAGCTCTGGGACTGGAGAGATACTCATAGGGCTGAGATATATGCTTTCCCTGTGGAGCCATGGGTTTGATCCCCAGCATGGCCTGACTCCTGAGCACTGCCAGGTGTGGCCCCCAAACCAATTAAAAATAAAACAGTAGGGACTGGAGAGATAGCACAGCGGGTAGGGCGGCCGACCCGGGTTCGATTCCTAGCATCCCATATGGTCCCCTGAGCACCGCCAGGAGTAACTCCTGAGTGCAGAGCCAGGAGTAACCCCTGTGCATCGCCAGGTGTGACCCAAAAAGCAAAAAAAAAAAAAAAAACCACAAAACAGTAAACTGCACAATTAAAATTTTCATATATTATAATGCCTTACATATGAACAAAATAATTTTTTCATATATAATAAAAAGAGGACATTTTTAGGTTTTTTTTTAAAAGCCTTCATTGTGTGTATTAGCTGAAAATGGCACGGATTGTCTTTACCTCAGCTTCCCCTTTTTCCCAGCTTTTACACGCTTCAAGTAGAAGACTTCCTAGTAGCAGCCATGAAATGTAGAAAATAGTGTCCTTAGAATATTGTCTGCTTAGTACCAGGCTAGGAAAAATGGGTTAGTAGTTGAGTGGGAAAGCACATGCCCAGCCCTGGGCAAGGCCCTGAATTGGATCCCTGGCACTACTGGGTGGACGCCTGGCAGCCCCTCAGCACTGCCCTGTGTGGCCCGATTAAAAAGCAAAAATAACGTTTTCATGGCAGCATCTAAGAAGGTACTGTTGACACCCTTACATATTCAGCTCCTGGTGAAAAAACTATTTAACATAGCAGGTGGGCGCGAAACTTGTTATATCATCTCTGGGAGAACAATTTAGCAATATGCATCATCATGAGGTACCTATATCCTTGACAAGACTGAATACAGAGAAGACTTGCACGTGAATAAGGTTCCACATGTACAAGCTGTACAAACAATTGGTAATGTCCGCAGGAGACTGGATATAACCTGTCCAGTGAAGCGGAGTCCTTTATCAAGTATGAGGGTCCCAGAGTCACGTATGCTGGGAAGGCCTCCGCAGAATTGGGAACCTCTGTGTGCTGATAGGCAAAGAGTTCCCCAAATGCTCCCTTCCTTGGCTTGGTCCTGGTGTAATGTTCATTGGTATCCCTTTGTAAAAGGAAATACTTAGAGGGCCCAAGAGATAAAGCAGGTAGGGCGTTTGCCTTGCACACAACTGTTTTGAGTTTAATCTCTGGCATACCGTATGATTCCCTGAGTACTGCCAGAAGTTAATTCCTGAGAGCAGAACAAGGAGTAACCCCTGAGCATCAATGAGGTGGCCCTGAACCAGAAATAGTGATAATTTAAAAAGGAAGTATCTGTTGTTTATGCACAGGGGATCTCTGGAAGGACGGAGAAGGAACTGATAATCTTGGTTACCCCGGGAAAGTAAATGGATGATCAGGCGACAAATGAAGACTTCCGCTTTATTTAGGGTTTGGGAGCAACACCTGGTGATGCTCAAGATGCTCCTGGTGGTGCACGTGCTGCCTGAGTCCCTGTGCTGCTTGTGCCCTTATGGCTGAGCACAAGTGGTGCCAGAGCACATGCGTCGCCTGCATCTTCCTCCTGAGATGTGTGCTTTCATGTCTAATGCTGGGATGTATGTAGGGGCTCTTTCCGCCCTTGGAGAAGCCTGGGTTCTCTTGAGCACGTTGCCCTCCATTCTCCCCCACTTTCTCTCCCTCCTTCCCTTCAGTACCCCCAAATAAATCGGTTTTACTTAAATAAATAAGACTGCTCTTGGCTCAAAAAAAAAAAAAAAACCACCTGTCATCTGAGACACTTTCACCATGATGCTCTGGCAGAGGTCCCTGAGACAGCAGCTTATCATCTATTATTTGAACCACGGGAAACAACTGGAGATGTGCTCGGTCATCAAGCTTACGCTTTCACACATGAGGTTTTGGGTTCAATCTCTGCTGTCACCAAAACAAAACGCAATCAAGGGGAATGTTTTCTTTTCTTTTTTTTTTTTCTCCTCTTTTTGGGTCATACCCGGCTATGCACAGGGCTTAGTCCTCATGCACTCAGGAAGTACACCTGGCGGTGCTTGAGGGACCACCCAGGTTGGCCGCGTGCAAGGCAAACTCCCTATCCACTGTGTTCCAGCCCCAAGCGGAATCTTTTCAAACAAAGATTCCAGATTTTGGTAACACCTGGAGTGGAGTTAAAGAAATCCTATTTTTTGGACCATACCCAGTGATGCTCTGGGGTTCCACCTCTTAGTGGCACCATGTCATCCCGGGGGTTTATCCTGAGCCTCCTGCATGCAAAGCATGTGTACTAGCCCTTGGAGTCACCTCCCTGCCCCAAATACACTTTTTCAAAAAGTTTCCTATCAGTGGGTTTCATAAACTCTTATGATATATTCAAGAATATCACTGGCGGTCAGGAGGATAGGATAGTAGAGGACGTATGTATATGATACACTTGGTTGATTCTTGTCACTATGATACTAGCGGGGTTGCTTTTTTCCTGGAAACTTGGGACATATTTTGGAAAGGGGCTAATTTAGGCAAACAAATGACATTATGGTCCACAAGTGGCTAGAATAGAGACGCTGACAGAGCTGTTGTTTCCTGCCCCACCTCTGAAGAAGCTGTGTCAACTTCCTAGCCTTTGCTGGAACGACTTGTTGCTTTTCAGCTTCTCACTGTCCCAGAGGAACTGAACTCAGTTCATGACTTTCATAGCTTGGAGTTGTTACTAAAATATCCAACTTAAGAGTTTGTTAGGGGAAATTTACCCAAGACTGAGCTGCTGTGTGACTCAGAGTGTCTGGTGTAGGTGGTTATCTTGTAAGGGTGTGTCCCCAGAAAGCCCAGATACCCATTTCAGGTTTTTTATTTCCTCCTCTCTGTTGATCTTGCATCCCTTAGGGTCCCATGTGCCTGGTAGTGGCTCTTGTGCACATTCTGGTTCTTGTGTTTGCCGGAGTCTCACCCTGGCTTGCTGTGATGTGGTGCCCAAACATCTTTTTCAGTTCCTTGTTGTGCCAGGGATTGCAGACAGCTATGGAGGTCTTGCCTGGTGTGCGGGGTGCACTGAGGAGCATACTCAGGACCTCACACTTGGACTGCAGGTGCTTTAGCTACAGAGCTATCTTCCAGCCCACACGTTTAGGTTTCTGCTTTGTTTTGGGTTTGGGGGTACCTGATGGTGCTCAGGGCTTAACTCCTGAGAGCTAACCGGGTACAGTACAGGAGATGGAACTCAGGTCAGCCGATAGCGAGATATTGTACTGTCTGTCCAGTTGATTATAAAAGTTATCAACTTAGTTTTTCTCAGGGGTTATCCCTTAGCAGAACTGAGGGGAAACTCCTATACTTAACTATCCAGCCCTAATATTATTTGTCAGGGATATGAGGTATTAAGAATTGAAGTGTGTAGGCTTGGGGTAACACATTTGCTTCCTTTCCTGTGGCATTGCCAAAGCCATCAGTAGTGGTTAAATTTTAAGCTAGCACTGCCATTGCTGTGACTTTATTTATTTATTTATGTAGGAGTACTGCTGTTTTATTCAGCCACTGATTAGCTGATTGAATTGTCATTGCTGTGACTTTAATGGTTTGCCAGAGGGGTTGGAGAGAGGCAGGTTCGATTTTTTTTTTTTTTCCTTTTTGGATCACACCCAGCAATGCACAAGGGTTACTCCTGGTTTATGCACTCAGGAATTACTCCTGGTGGTGCTCAAGGGACCATATGGGATGCTGGGAATTGAACCAGGGTTGGGTCATGTGCAAGGCAAATGCCCTACCCACTGCAGTATCGCTCCAGCCCCAAGAGAGGTGGGTTCGAATCCCCAGCACTGCTCTTGTAGTTCCCTGAACACAGCCAGGAGTGATCCCTGAGCACTGCTGGGTGTGGCCCTGACATATAAACAAAATAATGTTTGTCCAAAAGCTAGTTTTCTTGATACCAAGCTGTATGAGAAGTGGGGTCCTTGCAGTCACTGGCTAATCTGGAAAAAACCCATTAGTGATGAAGTGTCCTAATTACGTAACTCAGTCAGATGGCCATCTTCTAGGTTCCTCATGCATTGGGTGAACAGGGAAAAAGGCCTCCTCGGCTCTGGTTTCTCTGGTTGAAATGTCCTGAAGACTTAATCTGGGAAATTATTTTTCTTGTGAACTTTTAATAAATATTTGCTATTTGGAGACTGTTCTTCCCTTCCAATGGAAAGCTTAACAGTTAGATTTTCTGGCACAAATCAAGTGCAGTATCTAAAATAGTTCATCAGACAAAAATAGTACATCAGACAAGTCCGGAAATAAAATAATCTGAATATTGCTTACTCTTGCTATTTAGGGGTAAGACAAGTGGGGGAATTTCACATTTACAGAGAAGTTGCAGTAACTGTACAAAGAACACTAAAATTCTTTGAGCAGAAGCACCTCTTGTTTGCTGTTAGCATTTCATCCCATTATTTTCTGAACCATCTTAAGAAATGTAGGTTGCATATATCATGCCCTTTACCTTAAGTACGTAAGTGTATTTCCTAAGAATAAATATATCCTCTTTAAAAAAACCATGGTTTAGTCATTAAGAAATCAAAATCTTGATTCAATAATCAACCTGCCATATTTAATACATATCTTGTGATCCAATTTTGTCCTTTCATTACTTTAACTTTCTTTATGGGACCTCTCTAGAATCACGTAATGGACTAAATATGTCAATG